GATTGTAAATTATTTTTGATTGCTTAAATACGCTCAGCAATCCTACCTATTAACTTTCTCTTAGTTTCATCTACATAATTTATTACATATGAACAATCAAATATTTATACACTAGCGGGTAAGCCCGGCGTTGCCCGGGCAAAAAGTAAGTACAAACATTAAGATTATTAGATTATTTCGGACTACTAACTCTTATATTATATTATATTGTAGTATTTGATTTATATAACTACAAATGTTATCTTACGTAATGATTTATCACACCGAGTGATCAATCTAACACACTAAAAGTTCTTTGAATTGTGTACAGTAGAGGAAGAAAATTTTTTAAATGTGTTAGATAACCTTTATAATTATATAAATCGAATACTATAATATAACAAACATTAAAACGAAAACCATATAAAGAGTTTAGTTATTTCAGCCTACATTGTCACTTTTATCGCGATACTCAGATGGTACGAAATGGCACAATTTCATTGGTCAAGTAGATACCAATTGAAAATACATTTTAAAAAATTTAAGATGTTATACTGTATTTTTTATAATATTAGTACAGTACTAACAAATTTACATTCACAACCGAATATCAAATGGTGATCTGCCAATCAATCAAATTTCGCAAAAAATGAACCAAATATTTAAACTCGGCACTCTCGAAAACCACTTCATATTTTGTGCAGGCTGATAACCTCGTATTATGTAATTTTCCTATTCGAATGCCATCATACCGATGGGTCCGATAGGAGGAAGGACTTGCAGATGGAGGTTGAAGTTAATTCGACCAAAAGTAATAGTTGTCCTCCTCCTGGGAGAGAGGTTGATCAACGACTACTATTTAATATTGATCTACTATTAATATTTGAAAAGTGATCCGTGTTGGTTAGGTTGTGATGGTTCCGCAAGTGATGGACGTTGCTAACCTTAACGTCCGAAAAACTTCATACAAGACTTGTTTAAATAAAATAATCCTGTAAAACGCGAGATTTGTTTTATGTGATCCCGTAAAAAACTGATTAAATTAAACCAGGTTGAAAAAAGTAAAGCTCAGCAAAAACATCTAAGTAAAGGAAACTTTTGAAAGTTGTGGCATAAGCACACTGGAAGCAGATTTGACAGTACTGTATGTGCATAAAGTGCACATTATACTTTATGCACATATAGTACTGTCATGAAATTTTGCAATATTTATACATTGTTACTTTTACCTTTAGGGGTATATCATGGCAACAAGTTTAAAACTAAATAGGCACAATTCAATAGAAGCAGAGATCTATAAAAATTATCGTAAATTTTAACCTGTCTGTTTAATATTTCTTGTTAGAAAGTAGCAGATTGGATGAAACCACCGAACACTAGTAGTTTGGTGAAATAGCGGGTCGCGTGGAGTTTTCTTCACGTGATGGATTTTTTTTTAACTCTTTCCGCCCTGTGGGCACTAAGAGGGCCTCTTTTTGCAAGCTCATTATAGGTTCGGCCAGGCCCACAATGGAGCTGCCGGGTGGTGAGAGACGGGGCCCGATATATCCGAACGGACCACCCCCAAAAAATTCCTGGGGATTTTTGACCCGTTCGAATTCGAACCCGGGTCCCCCAGAGCGGTGGGCTGCCACCTTGACCGCTCGGCCGTCTGCCGCCGCGTGTATGGATCAGTTTCCAATAGAAAAAGTCCTCCCTAGAGGTAAAACTCACTTTAGCAGACCGCAGACTTAGTTCGAGTTGCGTTCTGCCATTAATCCACCTTGTTAGATCCTTGTTAGACGGCCGGATGGGAAAAGCAGTCAAGGTGGCATCCTACAGCTCTGGGAACCCAGGATCGATATCGGATGGGTCGAAACATCCTCAGAAATTTTTCGGGGGTGGTCCGTCTGGATATGTCAGGCCCCGTTCCTCATCACCCGGCAGCCCATTGTGGACCTGGCCGAACTCATAATAGGCTTACTAAAAGAGGCCATTATGGGTTCGGCATCTTTTAGTAAGCCCATTATGGGTAATTAGAACTAGTTAACTAGAACTTGTTAACTAGTTTAGAACTAGTTAACTAAATTCCCTAAATTTAGTTTGCCTGAAAAATCATTTAGCTAGAATAGTAATAATAATTTTAACTTAATTCATAAATTATGATAAATATATATAATTTTTAAATTTTAATATTACGAATTTTTTAAAAAGATCGTTTCTGTTTTATTTTCTATTTGAAGATAGGTGTCGCTGTTGTTTGTTGTTTTCTTAAAAGGTTTGTCTGTATATTGAATAAACATTTAATATTAATAATTTATTCAATTAGCAACTACGGTTTTCACTTTAAATCATTTCTATGGACTGTAATAGAAACTGAATATGAAATACGTTAAGCTTTTAGGAAAAATGGAGTTAAGAATATAAATAAAATTGTTTACACAACTTTTTGTTAGTTTCCTCCCCTCGTTATGCTATGTTGCAGCACTTATATTAAGAATATGAATAAAATACAGTCGACTCCCGTATAAGATTGTTGATTATTCCGTTTTATATGAATTCCATGTTGTACGAGTCACTTAAATTTTACAAATACGTGAGCCGTTTACAGCCCGGTACACGTATTTGTAAAATCTAAGTGACTCGTACAACATGGAATTCATATAAAACGGAATAATCAATGATCTTATACGGGGGTCGATGTATTACTTTGGTATTAGCCAGAGGAACATATTTTTAAAATAATTTTTATGTATAAGTAGAGATACAAATGGAAAATTAGGAAAATGGTTTCAGTTTTACGTTAAATGTTTTAATCTCAAACTGCATTCTCGTATTTACAAACTTAATTTCGGGGGTAGGAAAAAATAAACTCGTAAAAATTTCTATTTTTACGATTTAAAATGCATTTAAATTTGAAAATTAATGTTTTGAAAAATTGTTTGTTGAATATACTAATTCACTGGACATTCACTAAATAGTTTTTTCTTCCAAAATTTCATCACCATTTATGAGAAACCAGCAGATGAGCCCAGTGTTGCTCAGGCAAAAAGTAATGATACCAAAGATTAAGGTTATTAGATTATAGCCGATCTTACTATTTTCGCCGAGTGTGAGAATTAGGTCCACCCTCTTTCGAGACTAATTAGAGAATTTTTAGATGGGTCTAAAAGTATGTTTGATTTTCCACGAAAAGGCAAAAGATCGCATCTAAACTAGTACAGTTAGAAGCCGAGTTCTTCAGGGTAGTCCTTAACCCTCTCCCTCTCCCCTGCGGGGGGGGGGAATTTCCAAAAATTCCTTCATAGTGTGCATTCTCGTGGCGTACCCTAACTGTGTACCAAATTTCAACTCCTTACCGTTTGGGCTCTGCACTTATTATTATTATCAACCCATTTCGATTATATTATAAGATTTATAAGAATTTTTTTGTAAATACTCTGGAAAAATTTTATAATTTGTTAATTTTATATTTATTCATGATTTTTATATTTTTAACCATTTAATTACTTTTGTAATTTCTTTTTATTTTTTTCAATTTAAACAAATAAAAATATTAAATTTCTCATTACAAGTACTCAACAGTTTTATCATCAGATTATCAATATAGGTAATGTATATTGATAATCGGATGATAAACTGTGATAAAACTAGATAATGTAGCAATTAGGTTCCAAACTACTACTACTTCATGTAAAGCAAACATTGCCTTACAGTGAAAGTTTTTTTACTAGTGTATATGAAAGCTTAAAAACATATTTATAACCATCCTGTGAGCACTAAGAGGGCATTTTTTATTGGGCTTGTTGTGAGTTTGGCCAGGCCCCAAAGGGGCATAGAGGTGGTGAGGGACAGATGACTTGTCTGTGACAGACTGACTACCCATGGTACATTCCTAGTGTTAAATCAGATCCCAGATTCTCAGAAGTGGTCGGCTGATGCCATAACTGCCTTGGCCACCTGGCTAGAAACATTTATATAATCATTTATTGAGTGTATAATATCATTGTACACTTACAATGATACAAAACAACATTCAATTCAAAAAAAAAGATTGGATAATTCAAAATCATGTTTTTTTGGTCCGTTTAGTTTCAATGATTTTACATTACAAACAAGATTACTTTACTGATAATAATTTTATTATAATAAAAAGATACTTTAATGGCTTTTCTGGAGACCAATCTGAAAAACACTGATTTTTAACTCTCATGTACTTTTGAGCCCATCTAGTTCATCTTCATGGACTTTACTTTTACAGCAATTCCTAATTTTTGAACATGTGTTTGAGGATTGCTACATTTTCTACACCTTCCAATTCTTTGTTCTGTCTTTGGAATGTTTTTTTCTTTTTAAAACAAGAACTTAAGCAGATGGATTCCATAGTGTCCTCACCCAGATGTTTTCTTTCATTCAGAACTTTTAACTTATTTTTGCTTTTCCCCTTCCTTGACCAGATGGATTCCATAGTGTCCTCACCCAGATGTTTTCTTTCATTCAGAACTTTAACTTATTTTTGCTTTTCCCCTTCCTTGACCACCAAGCAGCTAGTAACATCTCCCCATCCCTGATGATCCCTACTACTGAGTCACACCACACTCCTCCAAATCCATAATTTCTCTGCCATCCCAATATTTTCCCTTTTCCTTTATATCCTCCAAAAATTTCTGAAATTTTCCAGGGAGTTTTTGTATTAGAGGGATTGATGCTATTAAATTATGGTAATTAAAGATTGAGGGGTGGAGAGATAAAGGGGGTTGTGTGTCATATCTCAGATATGGTTGGACTTAAAGATTTTACTCATTGTTAGCATCTGACAGTTTTGTTTTTTATAAAACTCAATTTTTTATAAAATAAATCTCTATCCTCAAAATTAAGCTTTTTGCCATTTTATAATAATTAATTATATAAAAGGTTTTGTTAAAATATCATAACAGATGGCACTACATGAAATTTTAAATATTGTTGCTAGGAAACTTATGCAGCTCATTGCTGGATTTTTTTTTTTTTTTTGTAAAGATTGTACTCTAAAACCCTCCAATGATGTTAATGGCTACTATTTGGAAAGGTTTTTTTGCAGATCCAAGTTGTGAGAATTGTCGTAAATGGTTTTGATTTTGTTGGCTTAATATAAAATTGTAACATATATCAAAAGAAATAAGTTTTGAATATCTCTTATAAAAATACAATAACACACCTTATTGATATCCAGCAATGAGTTTAATATATTAAAGACATTTTAAACCTGTTCATAGGCCTTCCTCAGCTAGAAACATATAGAATTTGAATAAAATAATGGATCAAACTTATAATCTATGTTTCTTATTTAAAGGAACAAAAATACAATACAAACTGTTAAAAATTTAACATAAACCAATAAGAAAATACCCACCAGTGTTCAATATTTAAAGGAATAAAATATATAATATGTAAAATGTATACTGTTTCATATCTGGATTTTACATATATTATTAGCTCTAATTTTTTATGCTAGGTTAGAAAATTTTTGGCTCCCTTTATGTCCAAAATTCTTCTCTCTCCTGTATTAGATTGTTTCTCAAATTTTCAAGTATGAAAAATTTTTTAATCTCATTCTTACACTTTAAAAATGAAGTTATCAATAATTTCACATTTTGGTAGTATTAGATTTTGATTCTCTAAATAATTTTTGTTCTCATTCTATTTTTGAGGTTTAGAGAAGATTTACATATTAGAGGTGGAGTTTTAGCAAAGCCTCTTCTATGTGGCTTACAGAATTATCTTTGTACTCAAAATCTGTTTGATTGATATTGATTAAACTTTGCCATTTTCTGTTAATTGCAGTGAGGAATCCAAAAATGTAATAAAAAATGGAGGTCCATAACTTTCTTTTCAAGATATAAGGTCAGCATAAGTATGCGTGACAAAGTGACATTGCTCAAATCTATAAGCCCATAGGTGTGCTAGCAACCATGGGCTTATAGATTTGAGTTCATTCTCAAAATTTAATGGGCTGATTTTGATAAAAAAGTCTTTGCCATTTTCCATTAATTGCAATCAGGAATCCAAAAATGTAATGAAGATCCATTTAAATGTAAAAAATAGGAGTCCACTTTATTTTTGATATACGGAGATATAAAGTGATAATGTCTGTGCTCTCTGATGCAACTAGTCTGTCTAATGGAATTTAGGCATAGGAGTCAAAAATAAAAACAGCATTGCATGCACCTAATAAAAAATAGGTGCAAAAAACAAACAAAACACAAGAATAAAGCAATTAGTGTCTATTGTTTTCTTCTTGGATCATCTCTCCATGTTGGCAAGTGCAAGGATCATCTATCTATACCCAACCAGTGCAAGAATTGTGTCTCCTGATTTGCAGATAAAAGGATAGTCTCTTTTGTGGCAGCAAGTGCAAAGTTTGCTTGTCCATGTCTGTCAGGTACAAGGGTTGTCTCTTTTTTCCTAACAGGTGCAGAGATTACTTCTTTCTTCCAGTTCTGCCTCAATTCTGTTACAATAAGACAAAATTGCATGATGTCCTAGTTGAGGTTGATTTTTTCTAATTCATAGTTGGCTTATTTATTATTTCTGCCTGATATATATTGAATTTCAAATTGATATAAATTCAATTTCAGTAAACACTTAAACCTATTCATTCCAGTTTTGTGACTGTATAATTTTATTGGTATTTTTGTAACTTTTTATAAAAATAGGTTACTAGATGCAGAACATTTCACCCTTTGTTTTCAAGATTTCTCCAGTTCCTGCTTTACTGGTATAAATACAAAGCAAAAATTCACTATACCTTTAAAATGACTGCATTTTAAAGGTATAGTGAATTTTTGTTAAATAGTAATGCAGTTAGAGATAGAATGAATAGAATAAATACAAAGCATTCTTCATTAGGATTATATATTCTTAAAATTGGAACTTTGCTTAAATAATCCTGAATTTCTTTAAGAGAATGTATTCAATGTTCATCTGAAGTGATTTTTGCATTTTGGCTTTTGTAAAGCAATGGTGCTGTCCTTTGAGGGCTTAATAATTTTTAATAATCAGGTAAAGAATTTGATTTCTTTTTTTGCATGTTTTCATTTACTTAATTTTAATTTGACATTTTCTTTAATAAAAAATACTTGATATTAATCTAAAATTTTTCAAGTGTTCTTCAAATATAGATGAATAGATGATAATACCATCATAGTAGTTTTTGGTGAATTCTGTGAAGTTATTATTGGTTAATATATTGTTGATTCTATGTTGAAATGTTAGTTGTGTGTGTGAGTACAGTCAACATATTTACACATGTATACAAGTTTTATTGATTTTTTTAAATCAATTTATATTTTTACAATTGAATTACAAAAGTTTTAATAATTACTAGTTTTCAATATTTTTATTGTAGTTCAGTTATCAATCATTATGAAATGATAACTGAACTAAAAGAAAAATAAAACTGATTAAAATTGATAAATTTTTAAATTAATCGTACAATTTATTAATAGGCTTGACATGAGTGGAAGTAAAAATTAGTCATTGCAGAATGATAAGAAAACAAGAAAAGATATTGTAAGGTAAAAAAGAAGCAAAGAGAAACTAAAAAGTAAGTATTCAATGTATCTTAAATAAAAGCATGAAAATATTTTACACACAAGTTAAATAAATTCCATTTTTAAAACTTTGAATATTTGTATAAAGTTTTATTATAAAGTAATATATTGTATTTTTTAGATTACTAAATTTTAGGTTTAAGAATTTTGATGTAATTGTAATGTAATAATTTTCCATTTTAAATGAGTCGAAATTTACATCATAACGTCTTTTGAAGATTAGTTATTAATTTGGAATTTTAATAATTTACAATTCCTAAGTAATTTTTTGTTCAGATACTTTTAATTGGAATATCAATTTACATTAAAATGTAACATCAGAAATTTAAAAATATATGTATTTATGGTAAAAAATAAAAATAAACTTGCACATAAAATACATAAAATAGTATTTTTTGTAAGAAGCATAGTTTTTTTTATGATAAAATTAATAGAAGTAAATATATAATAAATACTTGCAATGATAATTTTGATACATTAAATTTTAAACAACAAAATTTACTGTGTTTTCTTCAACTTTTTAATGATAATGTGGCTGAATCATGTTTTATCATATGTAGAATTAACTGTATCATTCTTATTGATACAGTTAATTTTACATATTATAACCTTATATAGATATATTATAGATATATTTTCATGTAAGTATAATACATTTGATTTGCTATACTTAACAAATCTTTATAGATTTTTATAGTAAGATCTTTCCAAGCATTATTAACACAAACTTTATAATATAGTTTCCCTATGAGAATGTACTTGAAGGAAACCACATATATAACAATAAGATTACTTGCAGAATTTCCAGGTTTGACCATCTTAATTTCATTTGCTTCATCATCATCAACTTGATCACTGTTCATTTGTGAACTCTTAATACCTTTCTACAATTTCCACATAAGACTTATCAACTGATGTGATCACGTTGTCATTGATAGTACAGTGGAGTCCTAGAAACATGACTCTTGATAACTCAGCATTTCATAAAACTTGTCATGTCATCCAAAAAAAAAAAAAAGAAATACATGTCATCTAGTTTTTATCTCTATAACATAACATTAGAATCAAATAAGTTATCATTATTCACTGGCTGCACCTTTTCATAGCATCAGTTCCATGTCTTAATAAAGAATATAACCTTTTATCTAAGGTTTCACTGCAAAACACCACCATGCAAATGTCACTGACTTGAAAGTAATCACCAAATAGTCAATAGTTTTTTAATCAAAATTTAACTGAAAATAGAAATAGTATTGGTATATAATCTAAATATATAAAATTACTTGGACTGACTGACTGACTGAATGAGTGATTGACTGATTGATTCATCATTGCCCAGAGCAAACTGCTGAACCTAAAGAGGTGAAATTTTGTACATAGTTAGGGTACTTCATGAAAATGCACACTAAGAAGGGATTTTTGGAAATTTCCCCACGGGGGATAGGGAGAGGTTTAAGGCTTAACCTGAAGAATGGCTTCTACTGTACTATTTTAAATGTGATTTTTTTGTTTTCAACTACATTTAGTTTTCATTGAGTACTTCAGTGTATTAAATTGATAACATTTCAGACATTGTTATAAATATTTTTATGTATTTTGATTTTTTAACCAAATGTTTAAACTGTTTTAAATTCGAATTTGTTATTGCATATTGGTTTGATTATAGAACGATTGTAAATGTTCCAGAAAATTGATCAAATTGAAAATAGTTCATTTGATTCTCAGCAATTCTCATCATTCTTAGCAATTACTATGATTGTTGAAATACTGAATATAAATGGGGTTTGCTTGCAAAATCCATGCATGAAAAGTCATGGGTAACAGCTAGTTAATATATATATGGATTTGCACATAAATACCTTTATGAAAATTTTGCTGTTTAGACTAGCACTGTTGCTATACTTAAAACTCATCATTTTAGGTAACTCATCATCATCTCATTCAACATTCAGTCAAGTTTGTGGGACTCTACTATAGTTTCTTCATCAGTAATAGCTAGATCAATATCCCAGATATTGGTAGCATCGTGTTTTTGAATCGATTCTGAAAGGGAAATGCTCATACCCTCTGTCTTCATTTATTAATAGTGACTTTACTGGTTCAAAGTTCATTATTTAGATGACAAAGTTAGAAACTCCTTATTCTCACAAACTAAGTTTTAATTCACCATTTATCAGCCTGGAACTAAAGCTAACAAAAAACAATAAAAGATGAGGATCAGGCCTGGACTTCAGAAATGGGCAGAAATAACTCAAATGGATTAGTCAAAACAATGTTTAGTGCAACAGAAGTCTAAAAATAAATCACTACGTATCAACAGAAACAAGAATTTATTGAAAATGTTATGAATGAACTACGTACAGAGGTATTAAAAAAAAAAAACACAAAAATACATTAGTGATGATAAACCACACAAAAGTTATAAAAACCAAAGTTATAATTAGTCCAAATCAAAGACAAAACTAAAACTAATTTTCACAAAACTATCCCAATAATTGGGGAACTTAATCTAACTTACAATTAATTCTTCACAAGAATCAACAAGATAATTCAGTACCAGATTACTTACAAAAAAAAGAAAGATTCTTATGATCTAAACTGTCTAACTATTACACCAAAATTTTCAGAAATCATTTCATCGATAGAACTCATTTCTCACCTTGCTTGCTCTCAAGAGCTTCATCTCTGTCTTCAGATTCACTAGGGTTTTTATGTCTTGGGTATGATGTCACAATTGAACATACCATTTTCTCTCATTTACATACGTACATACTAACAATATAATTTCTTTTTTTTTCATAATAGTTATTCCAATCTTTTCAAAAAGATTTTCTGATTTTTCTAAAGTCAGTAACAAGGGAGAATTTCCTAACTCCAATTGGAGATCACTTAATCTAAGATGTCATTGAGATTGGTGACATACATTGGCTTCACAAGTGTGTCACTCATGTTGACATTAAGGGTTTTACTTTTGAATTTTGTGTAGGGAATGTGTAAAGTTTTTGTCCTTTAAACAAAATAAATGATAATGATAACTAAATAAAATCTTGAAAATGAATATAATGTTCAGACTTGACTCCTTACGAGCTCCTCTCTTTGCATTCAGAAGATAGGTTTGTGCCTGCATCTCTATTTATGGGCTATTTCATGTATTGTTTAGCTAAAATTACCTGTTTCTCCATCTTCAGCATTTTGAAGGCATCTTTCTAATGATAAGGATCCATGGGCAATAATGGAAAAATCTGGTATATACATAGCATATCTATCAGCAAAGTTATGACACCACATTTTACATTAGAGCCACTGCTATATCTCTGGTAAATGTGTCAGTAAGCATAAAAGGGGTATAAGAGTACAGAAGTGAAGTACTGTCTTAGCAAGATCAACAGTTTCTGAAGGTTTTTAAGTTGATTAGAACAATGTGAAAATTAATACCTACACTTTTCAATTCAGTTACTTTATTCTTAGCAGAAAATGTTTTAATTAGATGTAATACAGCATGTAGTTTACCATCAGTCCAAATTTCAGATGCTTGGAATTATAAAAATACATAGAGAAAAAATCAAATATTTAATACTAATTAAAACTTTATAAACTAATTATTAAATATATATAAATATATAAATGTGAATCCAATATATTTTTAAATTTAATATCTGTTCTATGTAATCAAATTCTTTTGTTCTTTTTTAAATGCTCTTGTAAAGCATGAATGTAACAAGAAAAAGGACTTATTAAATATTTTGAATTTTTGCATCATTGGTTATGTGAAACTTATCAAACTACTTATTCTTTCTAACAAGTTTACAGAATATTAATGTTATATAAGTTCATAGTTTAATTCTGAGATAAAGTTTTCATTTATTCATCCATAGATGCAACAACTCATCAGTAGTTTTTCTATACTTATCAAATAAGAGAGATACCAATAAGAAATTAAACTATAAACAATATTGATGCCCATTAAATTCTGTGAAAGTATCACTAGAGGGCACTGTATGTAAATGTGACAAGGATTTTGTATAATAGTGATATTCATTTTCTAATAAAAATTTTCTTGTATTAAAGTTTTGAAAACTTGAGATCATAAAAAATGTAATTTTGAATATTTTATTGTTAGTTTCATGTAAGTATTCTTTTATTTTGCTGTCATGTACTTTTCAAAAATTTGGAAGTCTTTATTGAACTATATAAAACAACTATATATAGTTTGATAATTTTTCCGTTTTAATGCATATAATTCATTATTATTAATGAATTGAATGAAATTAATGAAATTGAAGAAGCTCTATAAATATTTTTAGTAAAATTACTTTTTTTATTCACAAAATAATTTTTAAGCATATATATGATTACAAATTATTGTTTTAATTATGCAACTTAGCATTGAAAACTTAAAAATATAGAGTAATCTAATCTAATAAAGCATTTTTAAATAATATAAACAATCATTTCTCTGTAAAACATCCATTTGTTTAATTGATACTACATTGATAATTCAAATTCTCAAAAATCTTAAATAATTACAAATATTGATTAGATAACTATGATTAATTGCTCAATTGATGCTTAATTTTTCTCAGAATTCTATAAAAAATATTTATTTAATCAAGCAATAAACACATCTTGAGTTTGTTTCTATTATTATTGACGTCAGAAAACTTAAGTAAACTTAATTTAAAAATAATTTGAGAATTATTAATTAATCTTTAAATCTTTTCACTTCACAAGATGTGAAGTGAAAAGATTCACTTATAAAAAAAAATGACAAAACAATAAATATTGTTAGAAATTTATGATTATTTATAATTAAACTGTTTGCTTTAATAGAACTAATAGAATTTAGTAAATAACATGAAAATTTTCCAATTCCTCTTAAAAAGCTAGAGTTTGTGTTGAGTCATTTGCAAAACAAAAAGACTTCTAGTCTAGATAAAATAAAAAATGAAATGATAAGATTTCTTTCTAGAGATACTTTGATGGACAGTACAGT